GAGCTCTTTTAAGGTGGACTGAGGCTGACGCAGAAACACCTCTGAGCTCTTTTAAGGTGGACTGAGGCTGATGGCTGAGATTCTGTTTGGCGGTCATGGATGCTGCGTCCTGAAGAGGAGAGGGACCATGACGGCCTCATGCCCGTGTGGTTCTTCAGAATGTCATGTGACCAAAACGATTGTCTGAAATCATGTGACTGCCTCACTAGGTGATTGGAAAGAATGGTTGGTTACCAGTTGCTTGGTTGTCACTGGTTGTTGCTGGATGTTACCAGTTGTTAGGAGTGCGATCCAGTGTCAGTAATGAAACAGCTGTCAGTGCTTGTACGGGTCGGCCTGCCAGATGATTCCCAGTCCAGCCCTGGTGCCATCCCTACAGCGCCTGTTTCAGGAAGCTCTTGATAAAGAAACCTGACTGAGCTCACGCTGCAGCAGCAGACCTGACCTGAGCTCAGACCATCACCTGCCGAAACATCAGACCACAGCACCTACTGGCTAAATTCACCGAACCTGATTTGGTGTAAACTTGAAGTTCAATCAGTTTCTCCATATTTTCACCGCCTCTCTTATCTCCTCATCACTTCCTGTTAAAACATCGTCTGTTGCTTCCAATCCCGTAGTGCTCTCTACACTTAAGATGTGGTTTCAGTTCAGGTTTTAAATTCATCTCCCCCTCTACCAGATTACCATGGTTAATCATCTATTTTCCTGCCAACGCCGCCTGTTTGACGTGGCATAAAAACCGTGAGAGCCCTTTACAAAGATGATGTCTTTCTTAGTTTCTCAGAGCTCCTCAGAGTGTAACCTACCTCCTGGTTGACCTTCTGCTTGTGAGGCCTAATCAAAAATCACTTCTATCAGATATATATTGTATGCTTATGGCGACCCAAACGGATTCATCAGGTAAAATCAGAACCGCCTGTGAGCGTGAATTCAGTGTTGAACTGTTTGAATCATGTGGACGAGGTGAATCTCATGGTTCAAATACACCGTGTGCTACAGTGGTACAGTTTAAAGCAGGGGTCGGCAACC